GTGCTCTCCTTTCCTTTCATCCATTCCCCATCCTGGTGGCTTTCATTTCACTTTTAAATTTAGGCCAGCTGCAACTAAGCACATGAGCGCGGCGCGGGTTACGGTATTGCGGTCCCACAGCGAATTTTGCAGCCGCCCCTCAGTTTATAAATAGCACCGGAACGCTAGAGTGTAAGGGTAAGGAGCACGGTGGCCGTAACGCACAAGTAGAGGTTCGAGCATCGTTCGAAACCAAAGATTTGACCATAACTCGCCAACCTCGTTAGACTTAGGCATCAGTATTTTTGAAAATGACTCTACATCTGGCTAAACCACCATTATCATCGGGTCGATGAGGCGAGTTAGATGGAGTAGGAAGGCTAGATTACTGAAATTCCATAGAAAACCCTTCTGATACAAAGCCTCTGGGGCCAGAACCTCCCAAGAAACTTCATCGAAAAATAATGATCGCTTTTTTCATCTTTTCGAACTATTCACCTAAAGATTTACGTCATAATTCGACGAAAAATATTTCTGGGCTTTATTCTGTTCTATTCTGCTAAGCGAAGTCTGCTATGCGTGAGAAAAGGGCCTCTTCGGGGCCTCTTGTCTGACAGTTTTTTCGCTACTTCCTAATCTCTCCCCTCATTCTGTTGGTGTAAATTTTGTTTTAAACTATCCCCCAATATTGTAAACCCTTATTTTGTAACAAAATTCTTCCCATGCTTTTTTGGGTTCTGAAAATCCAATTTCAAGGATATTATCGAAGCTTGATTTTTGAGTTCCCAGAAAAAAATTCTTTCTAAGCGAGTTCAGACTTTAGCACTAGCTATATATAGAATAATAAATAAAAATGAAATTAACCAAAGTAATAAAAAACGAATATAAGTAAATCTCTTCAGCCATTTTTTCCAACCTAGGTTTGAATAAATTGCATAACTGAGCCAATCAAGCGTAGAAATGTTTGTCGGCCACTTTTTTGGATTACAAGCCTTCGATTAGGTATGGATCTTGTGGAAGAGATTTAATTACGCTTTCACAAAGACTTTCCCATGGTCTTTTGGAATCTCTCACGGAAGTGAAATACGGAATTCATGAGGACAACTCGTCCGAAGCTAAAAATTGCGCATCCACAAAAGCTGCCCACTTTTGGCATCTTCCGAAATATTTAACAACTCGCATTTTTTTGGCGATTTTTGTCATTCACTCCTTTTTTCGAAAATTTATCACTACCGGGGCGCTTCTATCCTATCAAGGGCGTTTCCATCACTACCAAGGGCGTATCAGGATGAGGATTAGCGAAGGAGTGGTTCTCAAGAGGACTGGGGATTATCCGAAAGGAAGCCGTCCACTCCTTATTTCAAACTTTATCTATGACAGAATCTCTTTTGTATGTCGTATGGGCTCTATTTACGCATACAGATGGTTCATCAGACCCGTTTGCCTCGTTCAAACTTCTGGCCCACATGACGTGAGTGTATAAGCAGGGTCTCGAACTTCTCTATAACCAACCATGGACTACAACACTAGGATAATGTAGCAGTTGCCACTGATGCCCTACAGATCCCGAACAGACAGCAACGATTCCTGGGAAATGACAGTAGAATAAATAAATAAGAAGGTAAATGAGAGTAAATTTATCCAACTTTCCCCATGATTTAATTGACCTATCCTAATGTCAACCTTTTGAGGGTTGATTATATTATTCACCGTCGTACTCGTGCTATCATATTACCCTTCAGGATCTAATCAGGAGCTAATAAAAAATTGTGGTTGGTCTGAATACGAGCTAATCACCTCTTTTCATAGTCCCATCCATACTTGTCAGAGTCTTTACCTTTCTTCATTGTAGAGTTTTAATTTACCCACTGACTTACCCATTAGCTATCTCCCTAGTGGTCCTAGTAATTACAAAATCTGAATCTCGGGTAATTTATGTTTATATCAACTTATATACAAGCCAAAATAGATCAGATCCTCATTGAAATACTAGACCTATTTAAAAGCAAGCCAAATGTGTCGTAAATCTCGAGCCCTTCATCCTTGTCGCCAAGGTTTATCAGCTTAACGGTTTGAGATCCATGAAGTAAGCTGTTTTCATGTTCTTTTTTCGGAATCAATGAACTTGGGCCTTGGTTACTTTATACTTCGAGCTGCTCGGCTTAGGTTTTATGTGTCTTGAGCTGTTAGATGTGATACTTTGGGATAAATGTCGATAATTCGTTTAGCGTACTCATTCGCTGTTCAACAACATTGTGAATCGTATCGCCGGTACTCGATCACCATCAGATCACGGAGGTAAGTCGGGCAGAGGTGTGTTCTGCCAAACTTTGCCTCAAGTGGTAATCGCTGAAGCGATTATTCATTCGCACGCATTTCCGCTGTTTCCGTTTGCCCCTCTTTAAGCGTCCGTCAGTAAGGACGTCGCGTCTCTTCAGCTTTCTATATGAAGATATGACGTTTTGCATTCAGAGTCACGCCCCTTCTCTCCCACCAATTCATTGAGTGCAGTCGAAGCTAGTCCAATGCTTACATCCGCACCACGTCCCGTGCCTGCTCCCGTGCCCCAACATCAATCAGCCAACGGAGGTACCAGACGGTAAGCTGTTTTCCGTTCAAGGTAGCTTATCCTCCCGAACTGATCAGAAATCATTCCCAATTCAGGCTTCCTGCTTTACCCATTTACGCCAACCATGTCAGAGACGAGACAATAGCTCCCAGAATAGAGGAACGGTCCCCTGGTCTGGATGGCAACAGCCGATTACTCATGGCCAATCGAAGGTATGTGAATGACCTACAGTCCCTGTTGAAAGAACGCGTCTGCATCTTTAATTAAGCAATCCGATTGATCCTGATGATGAAGAGCAATGGATAGGCCATCGCCACCGGCATGGTGAACGTCGAACACTACCACCCCTACGTGAACCTCTGACCATGGCTCGTAGTCAGGCGCTGGCACTAGCAGGTGAGCTGGTCCTTCCCTAACTCATCAAATTTTAATCGCTGGAATGAGGAGTTACTCTGTTCAGGCATGCCATCGGAAGCCTATGAAGGAACGTATCGACCTGTTCCTGAAGGCAAATCACTCAATCTGCCATATGCATCGAGATCGATCTTAACCGGTGAAGAAACACGACCTGCTGATCGACTAGTTGGGCAAGCGCTTGGACTTGGACGGTAATCACCATGATTCCCTTCCTTTTTCTTTTTCACATTCGATTAGCAGTTTGTTCAAGTAGAACTGTTGTTGGGAATGTTCCCCGCTAAGTGTAAGGTCGGATGACCTATTAGTGGCCTCACGTGTCACGCGAAAGGGGGACAGGAGTTCCCGTAAAAAGTGGGATTCTTGCTTTCTGGACCTTAGTATCTCGCCCACAAAAATGTAATACCCTCACTTGTTGGTTCCCCTTCTTGAATGCCTTCCTGTAGGTGAAAAATTGCAAATATTCACCTCCTCAAAACTGTTACCTTTCAAAAGCAAATAGCCGCTGTATGAGATGGCGGATTGTTTAGAATACGCCGTGCCTCTCATGCTCTTGCCCTCTATTATCCTTATCTAGCCACCTGGTTCGATTAGGGCGGGTCACTTCAAAGTGAAGAAGGAGGGACAGGATTAGATAGGGGCTTGTGATCCTGTTTTCACAGTTCTCGTAAAACTTTTTTGCCTTGGTAACGTCAAATATCAACGTTTCTGACGAAGTAGTCCTTCTCAGTAAGTTGCGTGCAACCACGCTTCAGCCTAGAAGAAACGTTAAAAGTCTTCCTGAAGGCATAGTTCTTAGTATTCCTGAGATATCTAACCTAACCTAGGTGGAATAATGGACTTATGGTGCAGAATAGTGCCATGAAGGGAAAGAAGCGTGAAAATCGGCGAATTTTGAGAAATATAAGGCTTAAAAAGTACCAAGAATGGAGTTTGTACAAGATTGTGTCTATAACGGTCTGAGTGTTCCCCACATAATCGTACTATTCGCCGGCGTCCTAACGATTCATTGTGAATGGTGCAGCCATAACAAGGCTGTCATAACACGGCCACTTTTGGATTGTACGTCGGCAAAGTCGGTTTTGAAACCCTCATAATGCCCTTTCGAAACTGTTTTCTGACCCAACATTGTCCCTGCGTTATCCTTGAACGTCACAGGTTCATAAGGAGTTAATCTCAAGAACTATTTTTATCGTGAATCGTGCCTCTGATTGTAAGGACTGTTCAGGAAAGGGTATAGAAAGGGTATTCAGCTATGCTGTAAACAGCATAATTCTTACGGCTAATCTGTGAAAAACACCCAAATGCGATATAGTCTGAGCTTGAAATCCGATAAGAGTGCAGAAGCGGCAGCGTAGTCGTCGGGAGAACGAATCTTCGGGTCAATGTGGGCTCCGATCAACCACAGTAGAGTATGGCCCGATAAGATCAAAATCGCTGAAGTTCTCAACTCGGAGAGTATCCCCAGCAAAGGAATACCAGTGGGTCACTGGACGAGAGATAATATAAGTAAGCAACAACTCATCCGAGAACCCAGTACTTCCCACTTTTTTAAAACCCCTTCCCCCCCNNNCCCCCCTCCTCCTTTCCCAGAACTAACTGAAAAAGGCCGTTTTCCGCTTTTTCCTCTACTCCGTTCCATTTTTTCTTTCTGATGCACCCTCAATTACGAGCCTCACTAGACACTACCTGGGGTCTCGTAATGTGGCTGAAATAAAGGATTGGTGGGAATTTCTCAGACAGGGATACCACCCAAGAACTCTTTGGGTTACTAGTTTACGGCTGAGTTTTCAGAAAGAAAGTGCCCATCTCTGAGTAGACAGGGTAGGCAGGGTCGCTCTACAGAACGTAATTATAACGTCTATCCTCCAATTTTTTTGAGTCACACATTTTCTATCAGGGTGGCTGTTTTTCGGCTTCGAAATCCCACACCATTCCCTCACAACGAAATTCTAGACGCTCTCTTTTGTTCATATTCCCAATCCAAAGTGCTTCCATTGCATTATGAGAAGAATGTAACTCTCCCGTCTTCTTCCATTTCATTTTAGTTTTTTTCCATGGGAATTTCACGGAGACGCTATTCTGCATCACTAATATTGTCGCAGTTCTCATATATTATACATAGATACTTCTTGGGGTTTTCGATTCTCAGCTTGGGAACGTATACGTACATTACGAGGACCCGGATATAGCCTTTCACCGCTTACCATTCCCGCTTTTTTATAAAGCGCCAAGTATTCGACTTTCATCAGAATCGTAATGACTAAGGGGACCTTTCCATTGACGTGCGGTGCCCTGTTGATGTACAAGTCAACGTTTTTATCCTCCCAGATGAGTCTGGTAACTATGAGTTGGAGGAATGGAAGGCTTGTTAGTCTCGAAGGGCATCAATAAAAGATTCTCTGATAGTGCACCATCTAGCACAACATCATATCCGTCTCAAGTACAAGGGGTCCATAATTGAGAGTAAAGACACAGTCGTTGATCAATCCTAGAGGGATAATGTGTTGGGCTTCAGAATCGTTACGGCTTTTCAATACGTGTTTACCTGAAGAAATGGGTTTGCTGCGCCAACCCGGTTACGTAAATTGATAGATAATTCCAGTGCCTGTCACTACCATCGAAAAAAATAGAAATTTGAGTCCTTTCTCACACAGACACCTTTGAATAAAAATTGCTAGATGGCCTAGACGATGTAATGGCTTCGCGTGCTGCCGACTAGGTGCAATGTCTTCCATTTTTGATGCCATCACTGTGGATGGAATTTTTGGGGTGTACTGGAAGTAGCTGCTAGAAATTTCTGAAAGTTCAGCTTCCTCTGAAATGCTCCGGAAGTTTTCACAGAAATACCATGAAGGGGCTCTTGAGATAGTACATGTATGCGCTTAACATATCCTCCGGGAATTTCGCGAAGTCGCACTTGGTTACTCCAATCGGTGCTCGACCTTGAGCCTTTTGTTCTGGTATTAAAGCGCCAGAACCAGGTAAAGAGTTTGGGAGAAAGTTCAACCATTATAATTTCAACGAACAAGGAATCGCGAGCTAGATAGTTAAGCACATACAAGTGAGTTGGATCCTCATATAGAGTTTTCATGGGAACTTCCAGAACATTCCAGGATAGTTCGTCGCGATCATCGCGAAAGTTCCAGCCGATTGCTTTTGAACGACCTAATGCTATTCCTTTTCAAAGGAGGTTACGCAATTAAAAGAACCGTAATTGCTTTATTGACATTGCCCTTGCATAAGAACGGAGTTGATCGGATTTTTTTTACCACAGTACTTCTTGGGTTACAACAATCAATCCGGAAAGAACCTATAAAGGCATTAGATGCGATTCATGTATTCATCGCTTTTCTTCTTTTTTCCTACCAACCTGATCCATTCCGGAAATTCGAATTCGGTTCCCTTCTTCGCACGAATATTGCCTTTCTCTGGGTTGTACTCCAATCCCATGTGCTATTGTGATAAGTGGCGCACTCTCACAACGCATGGTCACGAGTTCGAATCCGGGCACTACACTCGCTTAGGCCAACCAAGCCTTCCATCCCTCCCAGGTCGGTTAATTGGTCTAGGCCGTCTGGGAGGATAAAAGCACTGACCTGTACATCGGTTGATCACCGCATACCATTGTATAGACCGCATGGACATCCAAAGTGCCACCACGACTCTGAAGGCAGTCAGATGTAAAGGCGTATTCCGAAAGCGGGATTGACCAACCACAAAAGACTTTATCCTTTATACCTTTATGCTACAACCCGATACCGGAATTTGAATTCATACTTTGATCATGTCATGCATGACCAACTATCCTCAACTACTCATGGCGACTGTTTCCCCCCATTTTTCATTCTGTTTATTTATTTATTTATTTATTTATTCAATGTTGCGCCACAGTAACAAACAAAAAAACCAATTTTAACGTGCCGCTTCAGATATATGGACCGTCGAGTGGTTGGAGCGGCTCGACGTGAAATTGAAGAGGCGTTTGCGTTGAAAGACCATGAGATGGACATGGCTGCAGATTCGCTAGCCCCACAATTCATGCAACACGTTGGTATGAATGAGATGCGTGACTACAACGAGTATTCACGATCGGGATTACTTCGACCGGCAGCTCAACCATCCCAAGAAAGTTCCGGCTCACAAGAGGATCTACTTCTCGTCACCACCCTTTAGCCAGCCGCCCACACGCTCAACTCAACACCTCGACAATGCTCCTTTCATATACTCTACTACTCTTTTGATATTACCTATCAGTGATCAACTAAATCAACCGCCCATCTGCTAGATTTCTAATGATCTAATAGATACCCTATTTAGCGCTTTATTACGGCTTTCAGAAGGTACTGGATATCAAGAGATTCAGTTTTATGTATGTGTGTCCGTATGTGTGCGTGTGTCTGAACTTCGTGCCAGAATCGTGTTTTTCAATGTAACCTTAAACTAGTCCAATCACCCGATGAATGGGACACAATGTTCGAATACAGGTCAATGATCACCCCTCCCCCATCCCCTTTTCCCTTCCCCAACTAGGTAATACTATTCGAGTATCCCTACTTCATTACCCTGCTCACCTTTTTTCCACTCCCCCTTTCATTCGCGGTATCTTCCTTGTTTGTTATCGATAATGATGATGTGCGTTGTCAATTTTTGATTTCATTATTTTATATAATTTGTATAATTATTTTTTCCTTCTTCATGTTTCATATGATCGTTTCATGGTGATTTCTGATTAAAGTGACCTTGAAGAGATTCACTTGGATATAATCCAAGTGCTATGGCTCTATTTGTATGAATAGATTATTTGTTTTCTATTTTTCAATTTTTTTTTCACCCCACCTGATGATTTTAAACAGCGTTCTGGTGCTTTTTGGTTCTTCTGGATAGAGTATACATTGATAAATTGTTTACTTATTAACTGCTGTTATTCCGCCACAGTTCGCTTTCCGAAAGTTTCACAAGGCTGGCGATTCATGGACAAAACTTCACTCTTGGATGGGACTCGAACCCGTACTTGTGCTTTCCAGGAACCGTGATCTATCCCTTACGCTACCGAGACCCCGCTTGCCCTCTACTTTCTTAATAGTAATTATTAAGAATTCTTAATGTTTACTTATAAATACAAGGTCTTCAATAATGATTCTCGCCAGGAGGCTCACCTGAATATTATATTTACAGGTTCCTGAGAACTCAACGTGAGGATTTTGGCGTGTTGCCAAAAAGAATAACTCAGAAACGTGTAGAATATGCTATGTGATGACAAAGGAACTCTTTAGTTATTTCTAGCACTTCATGCAAGACCGAGCTAAACGAACAAAGGTGGTTTCCTGCCTCTAGCAAAAAAGAAGCAAACATACCTGTAAAATTGCAAAAAATCTGCTCATCATCCGTATTTGCCCACCACTTGGTAAACTCAACGGACCATAATGCCCAAAAAAACCTTGGGCTGATCGGGAAAACCACAAAAGCGAGCTGGAAGGAAGACGATCAGAAAAATCGTAGAAGCGCAGACTCAAAAGATAAGTAGTGATACAAGTAAATAGTTGTTTTTCGGGAAAAACAGCGACACATACACAAGTACGGTTCATATAGCGGTAGTTCGGGGTTCCCGTTCGTACCTATGACCCTATATCTTGTGATAAGAGACACTACGACTTGTAGAGATAACTGACCTCAGATCAGTTAGGGTGTCTCTCGGCTAGACCGACTAGACTCAAAAGCTTAGTCCACGATGAAATGTTCTCTTAGATTTACCCATCAACTGAACCTGTGATCCCCAAAGATAGCACAAGGGACGCTGTCACCTCGAAAAACGCCCTAGATAGGTGCAATAGGAGTCTGGAAATCGGCTCAGCCGATGTACATGCCCAGGACGAGTTGTTCAGCGTTGTAAAAGCTGTAGAGGTTGTACTATTCGCACCGAGACCCACACGTTGCACGTAGCTGTCCAAATGTGTGTGTGTGTAGGTTGTGACTGTAGCCAGCTGTACGCAATCGCACACACATTTGAACAGCTCGTCCAAATACCTCTTCCACGCAACATTCGTCATCACACTCTCGCCCAACCCCTAATTTTAAACTTCCATTCTCATGGCATCTTTGCTCAACTCAAAGAGAACTGGTTGATTCTGATTCGTCTCGAACAATTCTCCTGCTTCTTCGTTGTATTAAGGACTACCCACTGGAAAACAATGTTGTTTTCGCATTTACTGAATGTACTTCTTAGAATTAGGCGGTTGGGTGAGTGGAACTACGCGCAAAAGTAAATGAACAAGTGGGAACTCAGCTCAGAAAGATTAAGTGCAGAGAAGTGATGATGAGATAGGGAAAGGCGTCGACTAATGGTAAAAAATATGAAGGGGGAAAGAAAAATAGGACTGACCAGAGCCGATCTGTCATTGAACAGCTAAACTGCCTTGTACCGTACAATTCAGACCGAACAAAACTGGAACGAAAATTGCTTAATCCACTAGACTATAAACATTATGATCTTACGCCTCCAACAACTCTTAATCACTCAAAATTCCTAATGTGAAACTTCTCGAAAACTCGGCAAATGTAGATACCTCAATTTATGGACATTTAGAAGAAATGCTTTCTAACACTCTGTCGTCAGAAAAACGTCAGCATTTCCACGGAACCCTCTTTTTCTCCTCACGTTTGTCAAGAAAGCATTCTCTTTTTATTACATGAATACGTCAATTTAGCGACATCGAAAATAAAAATGTGATAATAAAACATTCTCGAAAGTCAAATGCACAACATATCAAGTTTTAGTTAGTCGTCCAGTTGAAGAGGTGATCAACGAAATCAACAAAGAGATAAAAAAATAACAACAACTGCATGGAAAAGGGAAATTATCCACTTTTCATGAGTAAAAGTTACACCTATACCTACACATTAAACTACTTTCTAAACTATGCAGAAGGTGAGCATATAAAAACAATCGGTAACCTAAGCATGGAGACACGCCAAAACGATGGTTTCGTCTCCATAAATTATACATTGATAAAAGAAGACGATGAGCTGAAAAGGACGAGTTGAGACAACTTGCAGATGCCACACAAAAACACAATTCTTTCGAGAAGCGTCTCGTGCCCACAATGGGTTTTCCCGAACATTAATATTTATTAAAATGCACCCTCGAAACATAACTTCATCTAATAGAGATCCGTCTTTTCGTTGATTTGCTGTTCAGCATCTTCTGAGCATCGTACTAGACAATACAATGATAGTGTGTTCCAACCGGAAAATGAAAGCGGGAGATAGGTCCTTTGCTGACGTTCCATTACAATTTGTCCAGGCTGTGGGATGGAAATTCGGTTCATTAAAAGCACAAGTTGTGCTATCCGTGACTACGATGGTGGACGCTGTCACGCGCTTGGACCGAATTCACAACGATGATTTGAGAGAGCGTTCCGTTCCCCGAAGGCAGTAAAAATGCGCGAAGCTCTCGCTTGATGGTACGACCAAGCTCTTTGCGTGGACAAAAACAGTGTTGAAGAAGATGTGCCTCAACATACACGGAAAACGGTCCGAAGACCTCTAAAACAGCGCTTCCTTGATGCCTAGCATAGAACTATTTAATCGAAAGAAGTGGCGTCAATACGCCAGGGAAGCACAATCCGCTTCTAAATGGGGTAAACTCTGAAGAAAAATAATATAACCGTACGAGTTGTTACTAAGCATAGAGACCTTGGTAAAAGTTTTTGCTAAAAACACTTTTTGGAGCGGTGCCTCTATTAAAAGGATAGAGGATAAAGTTTTTGACGTTAATCAATCCCACCTGAGGGATGCGCCCCCGCACTCGACTTCCATTCAGAATTGTAGTGGCGTAATGAATGCGTATGTGGCCTTTACAATGACTCACGGTGGCCAGCCGATGTACAAGTCAGTGCTTTTATCCCCCCAGGCTAGTCTATGACCAATTAACCGACCGCAGAGGGATGGAAGGATTGTTTGGCCTAGGCGGATATCGAACCGGGATTCGAACCCCTGACTCTATGTGCGAGATAGCGGGTCACTTGCCACTGCACCACCTCCGCTCGCCTCTATTAAGTCGCAGAAAAATGAATGTTTCTAATGCTCTCAATTTCAGAAACAGAAAATGTGCTAATTTACCACTTAATCCAATCCACCAGGAAATTGAATTAAAAACTCTCCGAGATCATTTCCCAAGATAAAGTTAATGGCTAAATGTGATTTTAGCTCATAGCCCATATTAAGTAATAGCTCGTTGTAGAAGTGCTGAGAAACATACACAATGTCAAGCGTCCTGGGCAGCCAAGCTTTCCTCGTCGAGTTTTTTCAACTTATGCACTGCAGTTGCTTTCCACCAAATGCGTTCTTCTTTCATCAAATTCCTTACACGCTCTTCCCATTCTTGTTCCTTGCGTAGTTCCTGAACTTGAAAATATAGAACTGGTTTAGGTAAAGGTACCTGATTCTTACCTTATCGTATTCTTTCTTAAAGGTCCAATACGCCTCATTGACTGATTTATCGATACTAAGAGCGTATAAGTGAGCAACAGCTGATAATGTTAGTCTAAATGAACTTTTACAGTATCTGTTTATGCTTGAGAGCCGAATAAATACTGAGACCCCGACACGATTAGTGACGGTGACTCTACGCAGTTAGTGAGTAAAGACTCCACCGACTAATGCTATAAATATAGAACTTCCAATATTGAGAAATGGCAAACACAAAATACCTTGATGCATGCCGACCGCTAGCGCACCTGAAAGGGCTGGGAAGTACCACGATGAAAATCGTTGTCGGTACGCAGTCAAATGAGTCGTTAAGAATCTGTAAATAGTCAACATTAGAGAATTCAAAGGAGCGAAATAGCAGTTTTTATTCATTATCTTCATTAATCATCAGAGCGTCCTTTCAGTGATCCACATGCAATACCACATATTACCACAATAAAGTGTAGAGAGTTTTTGGCGTTAATCGATCCCGTTTGTGGGATGCGCCTCCCACTCGACTTCCATTCAGAATCGTAGTGGCGCATTGAATGCTTCTGTGGTCTATACAATGACTTGCTGAGACCAGCTGATGTGCAAGTCAGTACTTTGATGCTCCTAGGCGAGTGTGGTACCAACTGACCGATCCTGGGGGATGGAGACTTGGTTGGCCTAGGCGGATATCGATCCGGGATTCGAACCCGTGACTATGCGTGTGTGAAGTGCGCCACTTCCCACTCCACCACCTCCGCCCTACTACCACATTAATGTTAAGAAAAGATCTCTCAAACAGACCAAATCGAGTGGAATTATTTCGAAGATGTTCGCTCAAATCTCTTATCTGCTTCGATTATGACTACAGACTTCTGGTCGCTTTTCGCACACCTCTTGACGCGAGATTGGATAACTGTTATAACAGTTTGTCTCTGAAGCCGATTGTGGAACTGAGGTAGTGGTAGTTGGAGGGGAGGTGACAGAGGAGAGGTGGGGGGAGGTGTCTTACTCGCCCATCGAAAGAGTCGTCAGGGTTTACTTACAAAGAAAATTCTATTCTACAGCCCAGTTTTCGCTTAGTGCATTGCTGCCCAGAAATGCCTCCAATTCCTGCTCATTTGCCTCAATACCGCTGTTAGCTACATGTGGCAGTGCAGAAAGACTAAAACTATGCGTTTCTCGTAGAGAAGAGCGTGTTTCGCTTGGGCCAACGCGATATGGAATGTTGTATGGAAGCCGGGAAGAAGTCCGAATTTTCGAAATTGAAATATCATCAAAATTGTATAAATGCACTATCATGATGAAATACTCATGTGGAATAAAGCAATTCGTACACAATGCCTCCGGAGATAAGTGCACATTTGAAACCCATACTGAATCCACTTTTAGCGAATCGCGCAATCGCGTAATCCACTCGTCTTTTCTGAAAAGCTTATATGACATCTAGCTAATATAACTAATTCCAATAGTAATTACTTACAATTGCATCACTAGGACTCAAATATTTGCGGCCAACATTACTTCTTTCATAAGTTTCTTTCGCCTGAAGATACGTCGACACTCCGCCAATAAAAAACCCACTCAAAAACGACATACGCGTCACCTGAAAAAGAGCAATCAATTATAAATGAACATTGCGGGTTCCAAAAATTTTCAGAACGCGCCTTTACTGTACTATCGCGCTCCATGCACGGATGGTCATATAACGATCGTAATCTTTCCCATCCAGAGAGTTCTTCGCTATTCACTTCGGGA